AGCTGCACAGAGGTTGCGCGCCGGTCGCCCACCGGCTGCCACCAGCTTCCGGCTACGTTGCGCTTTGCAAGGCCTCACGGGAGCCGGCGGGGGCGGGACTTCCGCCTAGGGTTCGAGCCCGGAAGCGCGCGCGCGCGCGGTCGCCATGGAGACGCGGCGGGTAAGGGCCCACGACGCGCGGAGTGCGGAGGTTGCGCCGTGGGCCTGCGCAGAGGGCGTCCGGCGGGGTCGCCTCCGGGAGTCCAAGGCGGGGACTTCGGTTTTGTTTTTACTCTTCGCTTTTCTGCCTACCCCACATGTTCTTCATTGATCGATGTGACTTTAGAAAGAATCGGGAACAAGCATTTTTATCGCGGTACCGCTTCCGTACAGTAAAATGTACGGTTGAGTGAGTTTTGAGAAACGCATCCTCCCGTGTAACCCTCGCCACAGTCAATCATAGAACATTTCCAACAGCCGGAGCCACTCTTTGCTTCCCATCCCCATGTTTTAGTTTCGTCTGTTCTAGAATTCCGCATCAACAGAATCATGCAAAAAGTACTCTTTCATGATACCTTCTTTCACTTAACATGTGTTTGAGATTCATCCACGCTGTCGTGTGTGTCAATAACTGGTTCCTTTTCATTGCTAAGTCGTAGTCCATTGAATGAATATGCCTCCGTTGTTCATTCGCATGTCGGACACTGGAGTTGTCTCTAAATTTTGGCTCTTGTGAACACAGCTGCCTTGAAATTCAAGTACAAGTCTTTTGTGGGCATTTTAAAAAAATTATTTCTCTTGAGTAATTACCTAGAAGTGAAATTTCTGGGTGATGGGATAGGTGCATATTGAGCATTTTAAGAAAGTGCTAAACAGTTTTCCAAAGTGGTTGTACCACTTTATGCTTCCACCAGCAATACAGGAGTTCCAGTTGCTCGGTATCTTTGTGGACACTTGACATTGTCAGTCTTTTATTGCAGCCAGTCTAGTGGGTACAAAGTGGTGTCTCATTGCAGTTTATTTGCATTTCTCTCCATGATTGTTTAAAAGCTACCCTGGGCACTCTCAGCTTCCCCACACTTCTGGTCTGCCCAGATGAGCACCCCCCTGCAGCCAAGGAAGCCTTTGGGAGGGAGTCACCAGTTCTTGTGTAAACACAGGACCAGCTCAATCTTTGAGTAATAAAAATAAATCTTTGTATGTGTGTTATTTTTCAGTTGCCATGAACCCCAAGGTTGCAGGTCACATAAGCTGAGCACCCCCAGATGAACTAAAGGGCCTGATTTGTGACCCTGGAGCCAGGGGGAACTAAAGCTCAACCACAGGAGGATCCAAAGTGCTCAGATCGAGGAACAGGGACCGAATTAAGAAGTGAACCTCAGCATCACTTCCTGGCATGCTCCAATCAGATCACTCCTCATTACCCTCATGACCCTCTGCCTATAAAACCTGCCCCAGCCTCCAGCTCTGGGAGGGGGTGGGGAGGGCAGATTTGAGCATTGCTTCCTGTGTCCTTGCCAGTTCACTCTCAATAAAGCTTTTCTTTTCTCAAAAGTTGGCGCTGTGGTATTGGCTTCTGTGTGTGTTGAGCCCATGGCTTGCTTGGTAACACTTGAGTAGGAAGCCATTGACATGCACAGAAAGGGGAGGGCCAAGGTGATGTGGACAGGCACCAACGGCATCTACACCAGCGG